CCCCCCCCCCCCCCCCCCGCTTCCTCCTAACTCTCCTTGCACAAGCCCTCCCCAGAACAACATCTGGGAGGGAAAATGAAGGGTCTGTCCTTCCCAGAGCTATAGGGGGAACCAGACTCCTTCCAATCCCCTCCCCCCCTCACCCTCTCAGGCGGCTTCTCACTCGCCTTCCCAGTCAGGCCATCTCCTGCAAAGGAAGCAGAAAACAGCCTAAATCTTGAGCTTGCCCTCACCACCCCCCTCTCTGGCCCAACCTCCGTGCCTCCATTCCTGGGGAAGAACATACTCAAAACTGAAAGGGAAAACTCAAGTGCCTGTGGCTTCTTGGGGCCCCTCTCAGGGTTACCTCAAGCTCTGTTCTAAGGGAGGGGAGGGGGCAGCTATTCTCCATTAAAAAAAAAAAAATCTTAGCCTTCCCCCCAGCCTCTGTCCCAATCATTGGGAGTTAAGGAAACACAGATAACAGGTCTTTCATCAGAGAACTTATATAGTTCACTGACAACAAATGCAAGCACCCAAAGGTAGCAAAGGGAAAAGGAAGCATTATGTATGGAGAGGTTCCCCTGGACTCAGGTGGTTATATAAGCCCCAAGACCCTGGTCACAACCTGGGAGAGGCACACCACTAGGCAGAAAGAGGGGGGAAATCAGAGCCTCTCAAGCCCAGGCTCTTCCTCCCCTATCAGAGACACAATTCCAGGCCCTGCATTTCTACCATTCCCCTGAAATCACTATGCTGTTGGTGGCTCCAGAACCTAGTTATCATTCATCCAACTCAGAAACCCCACTCTCTTCTAGAACAAAACAGCTGGAAAGATCTTAGCACCAAGAAGCCTGGTGTCCTCTCCAAATTGTAAAGAAAGGACCCTGGCACAACAGCCCCCTGGGGTAAGAAAAAGGGAACCTCTCCCAACAAATCCACTCTTCCCAACCCACCCCCTGAAACCTCCCCCCTATTACCCTCCCATAGCCACTGAGCTGCCTCCCTACCCCTACTTTCCTTAATCTTCATCACAGCCCCTCGTCGTCCCTTCCAAGCTCCCAACTCCTTCTCCATACATATCCCTACTCTTGTCTGTCCACCCTCTTCCCCCTCCCTTACGCTTTCCCCAGACACACAACCACCCCTACTTACCCCTACCCTCTCCCCAGCCTGGATTCTCCAGCTGATTAGGTGACCTACCTGGCAAGGATGGGTGTGCAGGAGGGCTAGGGCCCCCAGGTTTGGTCTGAGAACTGTTGATTCCATCCCCCAGAGTCTCTCCCACTGAAGGGCTGGGGGGACCATTTGGGCTCTGTGGCTGCCCTTGGGGAAGCTCCTCCTCCTGCCCAGGGGAGCCCCTTCTCCCTGTAGCTATGTTGGTGGTCTCCTCCTCTTCAATATGGGGGTGCTGCAGTGTTATTGGCGAATCTGGAGCCAAAGGCTCTAGTAACCCCTGTGGTGAAGAGGGATTTGCCCCAGCCCCTGGCTCAGGTGGTACCACCTCAGGGGTCTGGCCCCCTGGTCCAGGCTCTAGGGTCTGATCTCCTGCATCCCAAGCAAGGGTCCCCTCAGGACCATGGTCCACCTCTGGGGGAGAGGGGGCTTTATAGAGCAGCCCCCCCAGCCCCAGCAGCTCAGTGGCTCCATCCAGGACTCCAGGGTCTTTTTCCAGGCCAGCAGGGGCATCAAGCAGGTCCAGGGCTCCTGAGGATGGAGAAGGGCCAGGGGGCGCCCATCCTCGAGTTGGGGCAGTCTGGGATTCCAGTAGATCCTCTCCAAATTCCATGTCTACTGGAAGGTCTCCAGCCAGGGGCTTCTCTGGCAGGGTCAATGGGTCAAACGGACTGGGAAAGTCACTGGGGTCCATGAGGATGACTGGATATGGGCTGTAGATTAGGGGTAGAAGAAGGGGCAAAAGAGGTGGTCTTCGCCAGAATTCCTTCTTATATAGGTTCTGAGACACACCCCATCACCCACTTGGATTTCTCATGAACAGCCCCCACCACACCGACAAGCATTTCCACTGGCTCTAGTCCCAATGACCACTCCCCCCCATACAGCGCCCCCTGTGGGGAGAGGCGTTCCCCGCCCTGGCCCCGTGCCCACACTAGCCAGGCAGTCGGTCGTTCCACCCTCCCGCCTGCCCCCGCCACCCCACTGCAACTCCCAGTTCCCCTCCCCCTCTACCTTTCACTCCCCCCCCCCAACTCGGGCTGAACGCCCCCCT